AACAATTTCCAGCTTTACTGAGGAAGACTTTAGGTGCCTTTCAGTGCATTATTTCAGGCACCAACAGGCACCTGAGTAGAAACACCAACGTTTCGTAACCTTGGGAATGAGGCAACTTTGTTTGTTTGGGTTTTACGTCACACCAACACAATAAAGGTCATACGGCGACGTTTTAGCTTTCCAACCCATCCATGCATTATTTCAGGCACGAACAGACACCCGATTGAAACCACCGACATTCTGTCAGCTAGGAAAATGGGTGAGTAAGATTCGTATAAACAAATCAAGTTCAAGATAGAACAGGACACTTCACTATATAATATACATCAATCTAAACACTTGTAAAGTTTTTAACTTATTTTTTAAGAGGTCATCAAATTTATTAAAGATTAAGAAGTCTTCTATCGAAAAAAAAAATCTGTAAGATATTGAGTTACATTTTAAATACTTCATTGGTAAACATATGCAGGTTAAATATTGATCTAGAGCTTCTATTTAAGCTCCCTGAAGACTCTATTTGTCAATGAATAATTACTAACAGCAAATACAATATTACTGAATAGTTTGATTTTTTTTGTTTGTAGTTGAAATATAAAGTTTCAAATTATTTAGACATTCTCGTGAAAGTTGTCACATCGTGACCTATAATGTGTTGGTGCGACTTAAAATCTAGCGTTTGCACCCCATAAATTGAGCCCAGTACTAAATTAAGACTATAATATGTCTATATTCTTAAAGCTGCATGCCTCCAGATGAGTCAAAATAATCTCAATAAAATCAAACTTGAGAAATCTGTATTATAAATTTAGAAAAAGCAAAATGATTCAAGATTCAAGTAATATTTTACATGTTCTGTGCGGTTAGCGACTGATTTTTCATTATTAACAACTATATTTCTACTGCGTTACTGACGCAGTAAGGGCTATTTATGCATATTTTGACCACTTTTTGGTAATTTACGTGCGTTGTAAATGCCATTGATAATACGTTAATTGCTTCCTTTTGGTTATTTCATAATATTATACATTCAAATACATTTTCAAATGTTTCATGAGAATTAGCCTGAATCTGGAGGCGTGCCGCTTTAATTGAAAGTCACATACATAATATTGAATCAGGTACTTCTCTTCATTATTAAGGTGTTAACACACCGTTACTATATTACCATACAGAATCGTAAAACAAATTATCTTCATTAAAATGGTTCATTTAACGTATATAAAACATGATCCCCCATAACAAATCAGTTTGAATAGGTCTAGGAACCCAAATGTCTTGATGAAGCATGGCAAAACTATAATATCAAACATCGGGGTTAAAATATTTTTGCTCAATTTTATTGCCAGATATTTCAACTCAATGAATTATCCATGACCACCGAAGCATGAATTATGGTGGCGAAGATGGTGAACCCTGAATGAGGTATAAATGGGAGAATTAATGTACATCATTTTCACAATCAATAATCTGAAATTAAAATCTCAAACGGCATTCATTTGGCTAGTTTTTGGTCGCTGAATATGGACCACATTATATCCGCAAATTATATATCGCTGTCCACTATTTTGAATGAAACTTCCTCTCTCTCAAAGAAAAAAAAGGAAATGAAAATGTGTATCACTCATTATACAGTCGTGCATCTAAAAAAATAACAGCTGATAAAAATAGAAACATATTAAAAAGACATTATGCTCAGTTTTTTTTTTTCGACGTCAACTTGAACTGTGCAGCTATAAATTCCGGAAACTTGAATATTATTATGGTTACTGGCCAATAATTGATAATCATAATGATTAAAACTGCCCAAAATATCAAAAAGACTGTCCTGCTCTTTTTTTTTTTCCTTAATCAAGTAAACAGAACTAAATAATAATGCAGGATATTTATAGACATTTTTTGGGTTATGAGAGTTATTTATCTTGTTTGTAAACTGAGAACATTTATGTAAAATTACTTTGATTTTTGCCGATAAACTCACCATTTACACTTGAATGCACATAATGTCTCTTTAAGTATTCTTAAATAACAAAATACCAATTTAACTGTCAAAAGGTGTGAAAATAACTAAGAGCAATTTAATATATCATATGTAATAGCACACTATGCCATGCTATTTCCAAACAAAACAAACTTTCCAAACAAGTAACAAGAATTTCTCAAAGTTCGAGACCTTATCTTAGAAGTTAAATTTGAATTTTAGGACATCTATAGGTGTTAATTTTAAACTTTAAACAAGTAAGAAGCCAGAAGACCTTAATACATGTTTAGTGTGGGAATGAATTTTGGTAAATGACCTGTTTTTAGATGGTCAGCTTGCTCTTATAAAAATGGACTGAAAACAATAACAGTGACAGTTGTTCTATTTTAAATCCAGACAGTATATTCTTTGCTTTCTTCTCATGCAAAGCTGAAAGAACATTAACTTTTGACAGTCTTTACTGTACATCATCTTCAGGGTTTGCATTATTAACAGATTGATGATCCATATCATTGGTTGAAATGCTGTTAAAATTGGTTGAATTTTTAGACTGAAGATATTAATGTCCCCATTGACCCTTGGCCAAATCGGTCGCTTTCATTGGCACATTTTGCCTAGGATAAAAATGAAAACCCTGATCTTATCTAACAGCAACATTCTTTGTATCTTAACTTTACTAGCGAGGATCTGACATTTTTTACTCATTTTCTGATCTATTCTTGTTCTGTTCAAAAATGTACTTTGCTTTTGCCCTACTTTTTCACCCAATAAGGCCTAAATTTGTAAACTTCTGATGAATGCCCATAAACAATCTTCAGCAGCGTTTGTTTAACCATTCCATAACTCATACGTAGTGCATTATGTGCTTCTACTAAATGGAGATCAATGAGTGAGTTAGTAAGATGTAAATACTAAAAAGTTTTACAGCTACAGGTGGTTTTATGTCCCTCCTTTTAGCTGTTAAAATTGTATTTTTCTCATTAGCATCAAACTGTTACTAACTTATGTATATAAATTATAAATATTGAATAAATACTTTCAACTTAGGTTGAAAGTGACACCTTGTTTATTTAGTATCAATTATATATTGTGAACAATCGATTAAACTGGTACTAAAGTTTATGAAATTTTCTACTTTTCAATATTTTTTTTATTTTGTCAATTATAAAACCAAAACAAGCAATCCCCCGCCGAGTACTGGTTATTATTAACACAACAACTGAAGACATAAGGCTTTATTTATATATTGATCATGGCATAAACAGTAATATTCTTTGAACTTGATAAATATTCAGGGCAATAACAGAGCCATAACTTTGTGTTAATTAGTAAAATCTGGAAATGCCAATGAGATGTATGCATACTACATAACTAATCAACGGCCATAAATCTGAGTTATAAGTATTTGACCAGAACAAGGCGACTATATGCACATCTCCTCTTAGTATCCCATAGTTTCATTGAATTCCAGCCAGTAGTAGCAGAGAAGTAGCGAGGAAACAAAAATATTTTTCTATATGGATACTGCATAACTAATCAAGGGCCATAACTAGTGTTGTCCCGATTGTCTCTGAAAATCGATAACTAATCGGATCACCCCAAAATCGGCAACAATCGATAGTCTTTTTTAACAATCGATTATTTTAATGTTCTACCACCGCTGAATTGCCTAGGGCGTAACACGTGGTCAAATAGAAGTTTCCCGACCAAATCTCTTTAATTCCAGAGGATCCTATAGTCTTTTTTGTTTGCCTTATCAAAAAAGAAATACAGGAAAAATATGGCTACTGGTTGGGGACCACCAAAACCGGACAACCACCAAACCCGGACGGCCCCGAAAATGCTTGATTTAGAATTTTCTTTGTTCAGTGGTTGTCAGTCACTTTTTAATCAACAATAAATGCATGTTTCTTCTATAATTAAGTAAATAAATTTATTTCAATCTCCGTAAATGGTAATATTTTAATGTCTATTTCAAGAATGTTGACGTTGAAATTTGGGGGTCAAGAAAGCAATGCCTGACCTCATATAACAACAATAATTATTTGCAAAGTAAACAATAGAATATCCAAAACTTCAGCATTTGCTGCTGAAATATTGTGTGTCATGTTAAAAATAAAAAAAAGAACACCAAAGCTTTCATCTGAATTAAATCAACGTTATTACATATCTGTCCGGACACATGGTACTGTAGTATGTACAATTTAGGTAATTTTGATACCCTCCTTGACGGGCCTCGGATATAAGTGTCAACATAATCAGAAAAAACAAACTAGTTTGTTAGTTATGAGAACCTAGCTGTCACAAAGTAGTATTACCTATTTGTGTTGTTTGTTTTGAATTCAAAGAGTAAATCTTACTTTAATCAATGAGACAAGAGCTTATTTATTCTCAAAATATGGTTACTACTGTATAAAATAATACATATAAGGATTAGTACCTTAAAAGAAAAAGGGCCAAAAAAAATTGCAAAACTTGATTATACTATCGGAAGACAATCGATTGTGGTGATCCGATTATCGATAGTGATTTTTGAGTCCGATACCCAACACTAGCCATAACTCTGAGTTAAAGGGTCTGACTGGAACAAGCCGACGATATGCACATCTCCTCTTGATATTGATGATTCCCATAAAGTTTCGTTGAATTCCAGCCAGTAGTTGCAGAGAACTACTCCGGAAACGATTTTTACTCATATGCATATTGCATAACTAATCAAGGGCCATAACTCTGAGTTAAAGTGTCTGACCGGAACAAGCTGACGATATGCGCATCTCCTCTTGATATTGATGATTCCCATAAAGTTTCGTTGAATTCCAGCCAGTAGTTGCAGAGAACTTCTCCGGAAACGAAATTCGGACGGACGGACAACGCCAAAACTATATCCCCCTCCCGATTCCATCGGCGGGGGATAACAATAATGACATGAATTCAGGCTGCTTTTTCCCTTCAAAACTTCAGCTATAAAATACAATAATGTTAAAATTTATAAAAAAAATTCTAATATGTTAAATATACTCACCAAATGCGTATTTAGACTGTGGACTAGCTGACTGTATTTTCCGTGGACGACCCTTCTGACGCTTCTCAGGTTTAGGATGACTATCTGAGAGGCTCTCTTCGTCTGTTCCCATAGTTGAGAAGAGTTTAAGTCGTTTCTTTGGAGGTAAGTTGCACTGTTGTAAACTATTCAAGTCGTCAAAATCCAGAAAATTTTCACCGAGCATACTTATTTTACGTCCTAGACGAATTTTGTCTTTCGTTGAAAGTTCTGAATCATTCTTTGGTTTTAATGGTTTTGCTTTTTCAAAAACAAACAGTTTATCCTTTTTCTTTTTCTTCACATCTATTCTTGCTATTCTAAAAATAGATGGCAAGGGCATTTCCCCTGGCCTCACTTTCAGATATGTTTCCCCTCTAGGGGAAATAGACAACCTGGGAACCATATTTGTTAGATAATCTACCTCAGCATTAAACACAGGGTCTATTATATTTTTATGTTTACTCCTAAAATGCAGGAGTTTCTTCTTATTTTTTCTCCTTCTGTGTTTACTTATTTCCATCCACATTTGAATAGCTGATGTTTTAACGCCAAGACTACTTCCACCACCGCTGGTGTCCGAGTCAAGGGAGCTAACTGACTGAGCTGGTTCCCTGCTACTGAAATCAGTTCCGATATCAGATTCTGGTTCCTGGTACATTCTTGGAGGCTGAAGAATACCATCTCCAGTATCTAAGTATTTGGATTTCACTTCGGCATTAGCTTTCTTACGCTTTGCTTTTTCTTTAACAAAACTGCCACTTGTATCAGACATCCACTCCTCGGACATCCCCTGCGACACTTCGCTTCTTATAGGACTACTCACCGGTAAACTTTGAGCTGCCAAAGATTCTATGGCATCTCTGACAGAAGTTTTGTTGTCACCAGACTCAGACCCAGGCTTTCTCTGCTGGATCTCTTTACCTTTTGGACTATTTTTTCTTTTACTTGGTTCGAGTGTGTGAGAATTTTTCGGCGGCCGTCCTCTACCACGTTTCTTTTTCTCCTCCCCTTCAGGGATAATTCGACTCTCTCGCCATTGCATCATGGGCTTAGATACCTCAACAGGTTGTTCATTTTCATTGTTCCCCAATTTCTCTTGAACAGTATTTGACTTTGTTCTATTCCCAGACCCTTTTGGTCTCCCTCTTGGGCGTTTTCCTTTTATCAAAGGCGGTCTTCCTCTTGGTTTAGGAACAGCCATTATTTGTTCCTGGGCTTCATTTAGATCACTGGAGATTTCCTTGATTTTATTCTTAGATCCCTTTGGTCTCCCTCTTTTTCTTTTAATGATCAATTCTTGATATTTCTGTTTGTATGGTGGAGTTTTTCCAGGGAAACATTTATATTGAGGTGATTTTCCAGGGAAAGATTTATATGCGGGAGATCTTATTGGAAATGGTTTGTAGGGTGGGGTTCGCCCGGCCATGTATTTGAAAGGTGGTGTTCTTCCAGGATGGTATTTGTATGGTGAAGACCGATAGGCTGGTGACCTGAATTGGGCTGACTTGTAAGCAGGTGAGGCAGTTATTTTATTCAATAGTTTAGTTCCATTTATCCCTTGTGCTGGAGTTTTTGTCTTATGTTTAGGGGGCCGCCCAGGTTTCCTTTTCACTGGAACAATGTCAGACATGTCTTTACCTTTGTCAAAGTCTGTAATCTCTGAATTTAAAGACAAAGGGTCAGACGCATTACTTTCAATAAACACACCAGTCACTATTTCTTTGGAAGCTACATTTTTGTCTTTATTAACTTCACTGTCAGTTTCTGTTTCATATTCAGACACAGAAGAATCTTGTGGGCAGGAATAAATATAGGTCGCTTCCGATGCTAAAGAATCTGAACTTGTCACACCAGACTGTAAATCACTGTTTACAACAGCATTAGGTGAAGGAAAAACAAAGTCATGTTTAGGATCAGAAACCTTTGAAACATTGTCATTTCTGTCAACTTTTTGAGATTTATGGACAAACATTTGATCTTTTCTTTCAGAGCTTGTATCCTGGCTTCTATCAGAACTTGTATCAATACTCCTTTCTGAACTAAACCCTTTACTTCTACCTCTTTTCTTTTTAGTTCGACCTTTCCGTTTAGAATGTGTCCCAGTCTGTATAGATACATTTTCAACACTTTTGATTTCAGAAGATTCTGACATGTCTCTATTATTGTCTGTTACTTCATTTTCATAATTATTCGTTATTTTATCAGAAGTTTCATAGTCTGAAATATTTTCATACTTTGTTTCTTCAAAATGAAATTCTTGAGGGCGTTCTTCACTTTGGTGAGCAGAGTTTTCAGATTGATCATTAATTCTCTCCTCACTATCATTGTTAATATCACTTATGCTTTTTTCCTCAATAGACAAACTATTAGTATTATTTTGATTTTCTTTCAAATTTGTTTTCTCATTTTCATGCTCTGATATGAGTTTATTCACATTTTCTTCTGCACTTGAATCACATTTCTCAAAACTTTCTTCCAACCTTAAAGTCAACGGATGTTCTTTATTCACTGAAGAATGCTCAATACTTTTCACTTCAATTTCACTTGCATCATTCTTTTTACTATTTTTACTCTTTTTAGAACTTTTTCTGCCTCTTTTCTTTTTATTTTTATCATATTTTGTGATATCAGCAATCATCATGACCTCATTACTTGTAATACTTTCACTATCATTTCCACTTATTAAATCACTAAATGTTTGGTCGTTTTCATGTACTACAGAATTATGTTTAACACTTTCTGTTACACTTGGATTCTTATTATTTCCAGAATGACTATTTTGATTTTTCTCATACAGAGTCTTCTTAACATTACAATAATCTTTGTGTAACGTCTCAGTTTCATCACAAACCGGTTTTGCACCAATTCGACTCAAATAATCAAACTTATCTTCAAGTCTTTGTTCTTTCTCTTCTTCAGTTGGTAATCTCCCTTTCTGAAGAAGGGTACTAGCCTTGTGACGCTGAAGAAACTTAGCACGATTTTTCTTTTTGGAGCAAGCATCTTTGGTTAAATCCATATTTAAATGTACACCATCTAAAACTGGGTAAGCCATTGAATTAGTGCTTGAAGTAAGCATATCACAAGGTGGTAATGAATTAAATGACACAGTAGCAGTTGCTGATGATATTGGAACACTTTTTGAGTAAACAATAACAGTTTCTGTTGATGAAATAACAGAGGTAGTGACTGAGGTTGAACTTAAACTCGCAGAAGCTGCCGCACATAAAATACTTGAAACAATTCCATTTTTCGAGTCAATAACTTGTTGTGAAGAAGAACATGCTGATACTTTAATAGAAGGAGCATTTAATAAGTACTGATGATTCAAAGCTAGATTTGGAGATTCATGACCATGGCCAGCTGGTGACCCTGTAAGAGACTGTATACCACTGTCTGGTGAAACATTTGGTGGAAAGTTTTCATGAAGATCATGATCATTACCTTCTATATGAAAACCACCAAAGTGATTTTCTTCATGTTTATCAGCAGGGAATAACAAATCTGGATTTTCAAGATCCGCTAAGTCTTCCTCAACATTTGAACAGGAATTCTTCACTTGACTTTTTACCTTTTTCTGACTTCCTTTCTTAGATTTACCCTTTTTTCTAGAATTTTTAGTTTTCGGTTTAGATTTTGAACTACTATTATCATCACTTATGTGATGGTCTTCTGCATTTGAATGATTTTCATCTTTTAAAACACCATGGTCTTCAGATAAATTATCATTTTTCTCCATTTCATTACAATTTGTATCAGAAAGTTCACATTTTAAATCCCCAGATTGCACATTTGTTAAGTGTTCACTTTCATCAGAGCTCATTAACAAGGGCTCTGAACACCCTTGTGAAGTATCAGTCATTTCACTATCACTTGCTTTATTTAAAGACTTTGTTTGCTTCGCTTCATGCTCTACATTTGAACTCCAATCACTCTCAGTCAAATCTGACACTTCTGAATCAACTTTTGGTTTTGGTTTGTACCTCTTTTTCTCATTTCCCCATGACCAAGGTTTCACTTTTCTTTTTCTCTTTTTCTTTTTCACATTAGCTAAAGGTTCTTTATCAGACTGCCCACTATCAGTGTTCTTTTTGGAAGACACAATTGCCTTTGACTTTGTGTTATCTTTCTTACTGACAGTGGCAGTGCTTTCTGAAGATGTATTACCTGAACCTTTCATTCTAAGCTTACAAGTTCTTTCTGGATATTTCTTAATCACTGAACTATCCTTATCAACCTTATGCTTATCAACTTTTCTGTGTATGGCATCTAATTTCGGCTTGCAAAAATTATGAGTTTTTGCATCACTATTTTCTTCACTGTCAGGCTTTTCATACTTTGTAACAACTTTAGGAGATAAAGGTGGCAATTTAGAACTTGATTTAGTTTGAGATTGTCTAGTCCTTTTAGCTGCATTCTTTAATCGTTTTGATTTAATCAAAGGCAATTTTCTCGTTGACTGCTCTTCATTTGTATCAGTAGAACTTTCAAAACATTCCTTGCTATTAATAGTAGGATCAGTCAATATTTCTCTTGATCTATGAAGCTTGTCACTATTGTCACTAGTCAAGTCACTGTCTGAGGTAAGTTTATCAATATCACTAACATCTGAAGTTTTTTCAAAGTTTGTTTTACTTGCATATTTGTTCAATGATAAATTTGTATCAATCAACTCACTTGGGTGAACTATTTCATTATCCCCTCTATGACTGCGTTTTTTCAGCGGTTTTGTACTTTCCTCTATTGAAACTCTTATTGGAGATTTCATTGATTCAAGATTTAAATCATCACCAATAGCTAGTATAGGTTCTCTTTTTAATTGTTCAAGTCCTGAATTTGATTCTGACTCCTTTGTTGGTTTCACAATGTTGGTTTGAGCAAATTTAGATTTAGCAATAAAATTCTTCTGAAGAGTTTTTGAAGGTTTTCCACTGACACTATTGGAATTTGAACTATCAATGTCAGTTGCATTTAAAGACACCCTAAGTTCTTTCATACACTGATACTTTTGCTTTGCTTTCATAACCACATCCGATTCATCAGAATCTGATGTAGTATCTTTGGCATTAGTTTCTTTCAAAGCTCTTCTGAATTTCTGAGACTTTGCAAAAGTTTTGAATATTGGGCGTCTTCTAGCTTTGCAAATTTCATTACTAACAACAATGTTTTTCATTGATTCTTCACTTTTAACAGAAGCAGAATCACTACGTTCATCCGGACTTTGGTTTTGAAGAAACTTTTCAAAAGAACTAAGAAAGTCAGAAGCTGCCTTTGCAGAAGCTTCTGGTGCACCATTTTGTAATACAGTGTTTTGATGTTCTTCGTGGTTAACTATGACTTCTGCACTAGCTTCTGAATATTCACTTTCACTTTCAGTAGTGGTTGAATTTTCTGAACTAGCTGGTATATCCACAGGAAAAACATCAAAAACATTTCTTTCAGCACTGCCTGATCTTGGCCTGTACTCCTGAAACTGTTTTGGAGTATCCTTTCCAATTTGTAAATCAACAATACTACTGCCTGAATCAGAGTTTTCTAAAGGATCACCTTTTGACTTTGGTGAAATACTCCCAAGGAACTCCTTATTATGGCTTTCTTTTGCAGGAGAAAATAGTAAATCATCAGAGTCAAAGTCTGATTTGTCTTTATCATCAAAACTATCTAAATCACTTTCTTTTGATTGTGAATTACCCATTCCCGTTTCTATGGCAGCAATTTCTAAATACTTTTTATTCGAAGTATCAACTATTACCCTATATTCACTAATGACAGTACTTCTGTTATTCTGTTTGTCACTTGAAGTTGACACTTCATTCACAGCCTTCACTTCATCATGTAGCTCTACTAACTTTTCAATGTTTTTATCACCTTTGCAGTTTGATTCTTCAAATTGCTTTGAATTTTTCTCACTATTATCTTTCTTATCTATCTCAAGTTTTTCAGGAACATGTTCTTTTTCCTCATTCTCTAATGGTGTTTGGGCTTTTAATTCATGTACTTTCTCTGCAGTGTCACTATCATTTAAAACATCAGACTGCAATTTAACAGAATTCTCTGAATCACTTTTAATTCCTTCTTTGTCTGATGATACAGCTTCAGGTGAAGTATTTCCTGATGATAAGTCACTTTCTACAGCACCTTTCGTTCTACTGTCAGCACTAATTGATACAATAGTCTCAGCTTTATTTTCTATGTCCTTTAGTTTTTCTGAACAATTAGCAAGTTTATCTTCACTTTCCGTTAGATTTTCACTGTTATTCTCTGACTTCTTAGAAGCATTTTCATTATCAACAGTACATGTGTCTTTGTTGTTACTTGAGTCATTTTTACTTACTACTACCGAGTCATTAAAAGTGCCTCGAATTTCGTTTGTATTGAGATCACTTTCTAAAGTACTTGTCCTTTCACTATGAGCTAATTCTGGATTTTCATGATTATCACATTCTGCTAAAAGTTCAGCTTTTGGTGAATTTGATTGGATAGTTTCTTCTTCTACTTGAGTAGTTGTAATCTCAGACTGGTCACACGATGGAAGACTTTCAGGCGACTCCGAGGTTTCACTGGTTACCTGAAATCATAAAGAAAAAGCAAAATGTAACAGATATTTTTTTGTCCCCACATGCCCTTGTTTTATTTTTTCATAATACCAAATCAATAAGTATGATGAAATAATATAAACAACATTAAAGCCACAAAAAAAGAAGAATATTTATTTTGATTTATTTCGGATCCACGGTTGACAATGCAGGATGGATCATATTGAACTCTGGTCAACTTCAAGGATATGCAGGCTAACCAGGCACTATACCACTAGCATTATTGACACTGGGATTAACAGAAGTACATATTCCTTAATTACCTTTACCCTTACAATGCTTAATATCTTAAATGGACTTGTCCTTATTTACATTCTGAACATTCTTAATTTCAAAATATACATTGACTGAATAGCAAACAGTGCAGGCCACGATCAGATGGAAAGAATGTGCTTGCAGATCTTTATCTGCACTGGTCACAGGAGTAAGTTCAGGTGTAGCCAACAGGGTAAGGGTAGTTGATGACACCTACAGAAAGTAAGAATATACTGTTGTAATCAAAAAGAAGTCAAAATCAGTAATACATACATGTAATTGTATATTATATGATATCATTTATAGAATTTTACCCATTATGCTATCTATAATGTCAAATGAAATTCAACCCCCCCCCCCCCACACCGGTCAATTCTATCTCAATTGTGTTATTCCCAAATTTTCAATAATTACAGAAATGCTAAACCCATACTCTTTAAAAAAAACTTTTAAAATCTATACTTATTATAAAAGCTAAGCATTTATTAATGATTATACCTAAAATAGTTTTCTCATTTTTCAAAACAAGCAAAATAATTTTTCTCTATTTTTTTCAGGAGATTTAAGAAATATTTTGAGCCAAAGTGGCTAAATTTAGTACAGAAAAATTTTTCTTGCAGATTAATCCCAAGAATAAAAATATATACAATTATTCAACACTTTTTAAATTTTAGGGTCTTCATTTTCTTCAATAAAAAAAAAAATAGGGAATGCTCCAACAAAAACATTGTGAAATATTGCTATTCATAATGCTAGTAAAACGTGTCACTAAAGGTAAAGGTATCTACATAGCATGTGTAAAATACAATCATAGCTTCGCTCCATCTATTAAATATAATGTTCAAAATGGCGTATCAACAAGTTTCACTCCAATCGCATAAATCATTTCAACAGAATGCTATTAATAATCATCCATGAAGCCAAACTATATGTGAATAAGGATCAACATTAGCATAAACTTTGTTCGGGTATAATTTTATGCGCATGACAGTCTTTCAACGCAACACTGTTCCATCTTTGCCTTATTAAGTTTATTGAGTTACGACAGGCTTGAAATGTTCGCCCAAAAATATATGTAATGTCATATTTGAAGTTTATCTTGCTTTTCTAGATAGTTCTAATTAACATATTAATGTTTATTATACTTTTCAATATTTCAAAAAGAAACGCTGTCTTCAAACATCCATATTTTTTTGTTGTTGTTTGCCAAAATATACAAAACTGTTAGTCTCATTTGAGAACACGCCTTTTGTAAAAATGTTTTCTTTAATGGATTTCCTCCTTTTTAATCAGATTTACATGAAGTTTTCAGACACGTGATATCCCCAAATTAAAAATCTTAATGATAGTATTCAAATAATTTTCGCACACCCTGACTTTATTCGAAAATATTTGCATAATTGATAAATAGAACAGATGAAAAGACGCAGTAAAATAACACTTCAAGACATTCATCTTTATCATGTAGGTCACTTAACATATTAAACCAATTACCTTCATATCAATTATGACTTTGCAGATACACCCTATTTTACATCTACATGACTCTAACCTATGACCTTACATTTGAAGACTCTGCATCTATTAAACATAACACTGACAAGGGTGCCATAGTCACAAAATACGCCCGTTTACGAAAGCTTTAGATGGAGATGGGGGCATTATGGATAAGTGTTATCTAGCAAGCAAGTTTTTATTCTTGGCACTGTGTTGTCAAATGAACCTTAAAACAAATCAGTAGGGAAGATATGCACAGGATGTGTGACCTTGACCTTGGTCGCAGGGACCTGAATTTTATGCAAGGCACTCAGCCTCACAATGATGAACATTTGTGCCAAATTATATTGAAATCCCTCTATGCATGTAGAAGTTTTGCTCCAGACAAGCGTTTTTCTATGAGCTCTAACTGTGAACTTCACCTTTAACCTAGAGACTTGGCCCATGTGCAGGGTACTACGTCTCATGGTGGTGAACAATTCTATAAAGTAACATTAAAATTCCTCCATGCATGTAGAAAATATGCTCCGGACAACATCTGGATATTTAATCATCTCCAGTGACCTTGACCTTGCAAATATTAACCTAAATTAAATATGTCACACCTGTAGTCATGATAGTTACCATTTGTGCTACAAACCATCAATAAATGATGACTAAATGGTCCCTATACACATCTTCAAATTTTTATCTGAACTTTGACCTCTATGTGTAACCTTGACTTTGGTCGCAGGGATCTGAATTTTGCGTGCGACACTCAGCCTCACAATGGTGAACATTTGTGCCAAGTTATATTGAAATCCCCCTATGAATGTAGAAGTTTTGCTCCGGACAAGCGTTTTTCAATGAGCTCTAAGTGTGACCTTGACCTTTGACCTGGATCATGCATGGAGCAATACATATCATGGTGGTGAACATTTCCATAAAGTATTATAAAAATTCTTCCATACATGTAGGAGATATGCTCCAGACAAAATCTGGTTATTTCACCATCTTTAGTGACCTTGACCTTGCATATATTGACCTAAAGTACATGTGTCACAGCCGTAGTCATGATAATGACCATTTGTGTTACAATCCCTCAATAAATGATGATTAAATCGTCCCTATACACATCTTCATATTTTTATCTAAACTTTGACCTCTATGTGTGACCTTGACCTTGGCTACAGGGACCTGAATTTTGTGCGCGACACTCCGCCTCACAATGGTGAACATTTGTGCCAAGTTATATTGAAATCCCTCTATGCATGTGGAAGTTTTGCTCCGGACAAGCGTTTTTCAATGAGCTGTAAGTGTGACCTTGACCTTTGACCTAGTTCATGTCATAGGTGTTCGGCGCGTTGATTGGTCACTACCCCCGGACCAACCCCCCTCCCCCTCACCCACTCTACAACCCTCCTACCTCTCAAAACCATGTAAACTGTAGTATTTTTCATTTTAAACATGTTTTAATAGTTAGTACATGCTTTTAATTCAATTACCTTCATCTCCAACAAAAAATGATATAATATATATTTAGTAAAGGTATGCAACTCGCCGCTCATTTTTCAGCACTCATCTTAATATGAACTCCATAACTCCAACATTTTTTCACCAATTTTCAATTTCTTGGTACCAAATAGTAGGGAATTGATTACTCTTAAAGGAATTTAAGCTGTCATTACAATCATTTCAAGTTTTAAGAAGATATGTAATCTCAAAGTCACGGCAAGTGTAACTCGACAGAGATCTGACCGCTGGGTTTTTGTCAAAATTACCCGACTAAACTGCAGTTTATTCAAAATGAATGAATATTATTTTGTATTGCGCATATAAATATGATCAAATTATATTATTATTTGTAATAACTGTTCAATCAAAACATCATATAAAACTATAACGAACCGTTTTTCAGATTTGTTAAATTCTCCATCCAAAATGAAAGTACACATGTATACACGGATGCATTAGTATGGAGTATTTTCATTGGGCGTGTGAAAACCTTTGACCAATGAAAATACTCCGTACAAAAAATACAGAGGAGAGCACTCTGCAGAACAATTACTTTCATTTAGATTTGGAATTTGACATATCGGAAAACGGTTAGTTATAGTTTTATATGACGTTTTGATTGAACAGTTATAACAAATAATAATATAATTTGATCATATTTATATGCGCAATACAAAATAATATTCATTCATTTTGAATAAACTGCAGTTTAGTCGGGTAATTTTGACAAAAACCCAGCGGTCAGATCTCTGTCGAGTTACACTTGCGGTGACTTCGAGATTACATATCTTCTTAAAACTTGAAATGATTGTAATGACAGCTTAAATTCCTTTAAGAGTAATCAATTCCCTACTATTTGGTACCAAGATATTGAAAATTGGTGAAAAAATGTTGGAGTTATGGAGTTCATATTAAGATGAGTGCTGAAAAATGAGCGGCGAGTTGCATACCTTTACTAAATATATATTATATCATTTTTTTATTTTTTGTTGGAGATGAAGGTAATTGAATTAAAAGCATGTACTAACTATTAAAACATGTTTAAAATGAAAAATACTACAGTTTACATGGTTTTGAGAGGTAGGAGGGTTGTAGACAGACTTCCCGAAAGTTGAAAAAAACTGTCAGACATTCGGTCTGACAAACCATGAAAATCTGTCGGTCCGAAACAAAATCTGTCGGACCAAATAAAATTGATCAAAATAAAAGAAAAACTTGTGTTTGTATTTCTAAGACACTTTTTGTTTTTTATTTTTTCGCCGTAAAAATCTGCACAATCCGTACAGCGCATTTTCATCTCCTCCCTGTCATACACCAATGATTCATGGTTCTGCTTTCATTTTTCATTAAATTTTGTCTCAGGTCTAATATTTTCATCATTTTACTGCTTTTCTGTGCACTCTTCTGACGTAGATTTTCGGTTTTTCCAAGGTTTGGAACCTTTAGCGACGCCATTTTGTATACATGCGGCTTGGATAAAAGCCGGACAGTCGGACCGATCCGGAATAAAAAATTGTCAGACCTGATCAAAATTTATCGGACATGTCCGTCGGACCGACATATTTCGGGAAGTCTGTGTAGAGTGGGTGAGGGGGAGGGGGGTTGGTCCGGGGGTAGTGACCAATGAACGCGCCGAACACCTATGGTTCATGTGCGTGACATGGCTTCTTATAATGGTGAACATTTCTATGAAATTTCATTAAAATCCCTCCATGCGTGTAGGAGA